ATGTGGCGGGATGTGTTGGGGATGTGTCGGGGATGTGGCGGGATGTGGCGGGGATGTGTCGGGGAAACGCGCCTTTTACAGTTGCAGACGGCAGCGCTTCTGGCTTTTTCGAAACCCGGCCAGACTTCTTCAGCGCCGCCTTCTTCACCGGCTTCCGCTCAGCCTCCTCCTGCGCAGACATGTCCTGCGCATATAGCTCTCTGAGGGTGCATCTCCACATCATGGATTGAACTGTGCAACTTCCCAAGTTCACAGAGAGAGAGAGCCTGCATGCTCGCCATCGCAAAGCTTGAGGAATTTCGTGAGCGTGTCTTCATGCAAAAGTGCAGTCTGGAGCAAAGTGACCGCTCAATACGGCCAGCGTGGTGCCAGTCATGGGCGCACTTGCGGTCACTGTTCCACCATCCCACGAAAACTCCACCAACTTCAGGCCGACTGGGTCTGTCAGAGGCTTGACAATGATGCATTCTCCAGCCCTGCTGGCATACACAGTCATGTGGGGAACCAACTCCATATTCCCACACTGCTTTTTGTGGAAAGGAACGACGCCCCCACAGCCACTTGGCATGTACAGCGCACCTCCACAAAGTCGATGACGCCAAGCCTGCCATTGTGGCAGCTCTCTCAAGTTGCCATGCCTTTCTTCCCAATTGGTCCAGGCAGCCACAGTGGTACAAGCCAAGACGTGTGCCCACGAAATGTCAGTATATCCGAACAAACCTGACATGGGCAGCTCTATATATAAGGGAGAAAAGGGCCGCTCCACCGTCTGTCACCGCTTTCCTTGATGATTTCATATATGAAACGTACCTGATCCGTTCACATCTTACGTGAAAGGAGTGCGCGCAGCAAACCTATAAACATGCCGTGTAGGTGTAGATATGTATACGCATGGGCGGGCACACCACCGTCAAACAATCATCTTCCATGAGCGAACACACCGCTGTCAAAACAGGTGAATGCAAAGTTCTTATATTGTCTTTCATGTTTTCCCAGGGCTCAATGTGACAGTGCCTGTCGTTATACCTCCGCGCTCCAGCGCATCCTAAAGCCAAAGCTCTTGCAAATCGCACAAGCTCAGGCAAAGAGCTTCGTACACCAAACGGCCCAGGGTCTCGTCCCTCTTCAAGTAGACAATTGGGTGTATATAGACTCTGCAAACTTGGCAGCTCCAAAAATCTCACCCCTCTCGCACAACCAATGGCCACGGTGGTAGGTCAGCCATCCAGGGGCGCTGCCACAAGCAGACGGTAAATCGACGCAGCTTCGCCTGCTTCGCCTTGCAAAAGCACTTCATCTTCTTAAGCGCAGGGAGCGTCCTTTTCTTCCACAGCTGCTTGACTCTCTCCAATGCTGACAGCTTCATGCTATATATCTATTTGAGGCTGTAGCAACAAAAAACGTTGGGCCTTACGAAGCTGCGTGCGAAGGAGGACACTGGGCGTCTATACATGTGTGCATTATGCATGGGCAGGCGCACCGCCATCCAACCAACATCCATCCATGAGCGGACACACCGTTCTCAACGCATTTGAGAACAACATGAACGACAAATTCAGCCTGTTTACCCACAGAGGCTTCTCTGCAGCGAATCAAAGTCCAGAACTATGATTCAAGCGGTACTTGACGCGCGCACATCTTTCACGCAGGTCACCGAGTATCTGCTCCAGGTTGAACCTGAAATGGTCGAACATCCGTCGGCGGTCAGGTGTCAACAAAGACTGATCTGGAAGACTGTCGAAGACATCATCCAGCTGCCATATCAGCATGCTCACGTAGATGCGCGTGTGGTGAGTCTTCTCGAGCTCGCTGAGGTGCGCAGCCATTGCCCTTTCAGTTCTGTTCAGGCGCACCGAACCGTTGACACCAGCGCTGCAAAGAAATGTGTAACAAATTCAGACTTGCGCATGACAACGCCTGGATTATATACGCGCATGAGCGGCCACATCGTTTTTTTGTGAATTTCAATCGTGAGCGGGTGAACCGCTTGTGCCACAATTGTGCTTTCTGACACTCCTTTTCTCTACTGCTTACCTCCATACCACTGGTTGAAGAGGGCCTTGTTCGCCCCGCCTCTTTTCTTTTTGTAGCCCCATTTGAGGACAAAAATTTCCCGACTGGATTTTGGTGGCCTCGATTGGGCCTTCGCCACAGCTCCTGAAACTACATCAGCCTCAGCTGAATCAAATTCAAGCGAGTCACCGCCTTGCAACCCACTGGCGCAAGCCTCCGTCGATTCTTCTTGTTCTTCTCCTTCCTCTTCTTCAGCCCAGTCCCTGGCAAGATCTTCCCTGCCCTCATACATGCAGGCACCTTCTGGTGGTTGCAATGGCTTGGAAGCGCTGCTGGTGCTGCTGGCTTCTGTCACATCACTGCGTTGAGGATCTGCCTGATTCCATTCACTTTCTTCAACCCAGTTCTTGTCCTCGTTGGAATCTTCACTGATCGGAGCCCCATTCATTGCTAGCTTCTGGCGCGTCATTGCTTGGAGGATCGGCCCGGACAGGGCAGGTCGAGCTTGAAGTCATGAAACCACAGCTCTTCTAAGGTCAGGTGCTCCTCACATACCAGCTTCTCGCTGGCCACTTTGACAGTGAGGCTCGCATTCACCCTGTGGCCACATATCGCACATGTGACTATACTCTCCATGGCAATGGAGAGCTCCTTTACAGACAGAGTGAAACTATATGTCTTGAGCCAAACCACCTCGCAAAGCTAAATTGTGTTCTCAACATGTTTCAACACCATGAGTGGACACACCGCTTGCTGCTCTACAGTGGACCAGGACACTCGACAAAGCGAAGAAACAAGAAGAAGCATGAGCGGGCAAACCGCTATATAAATCGAAATCTATATATATATGAGAAATTAAATACAAAAGGAAAAGCTGGCTAGTCACAGTCGGCAAAGACCATGATCCCCTTACCCCCTCATCACCGAATGTATGCATTGCATCCATTCAGAAAACCCTCATGGGTGAAACTGTGAAACCCTTTCTTCAACCAGCAGCTGTTGCAGCATCCGGGAACAAAGCGGCAGGTGGAGCAACCTTTCGGCATCATTTTCAAGCGCTTGGCCTTTGTAGGAATGCGTCCCCTGCTCTTGCGGCCCTTTTGCCCATGGACGGGCTCCTTCACAGCCTTCACAACCTTTTTCTTGCCGGGCTTCGCAACATCATTGCGCTTCTTTGCCTGCTTCGGAGCCTTCGCAACTTTGCTTGAGCAGGGCTTGGCATGCTTCGGGGTCTTCGCAACTTTACTTGAGTTGGGCTTGGCACCCCTACCCTTTTTTCTCAGCGTCCCTTTTTATCCGCCATCTCCTTCAACTTCTCAACCGACGTCTGAACAGCGCCAGTGGTGTGAGTGTCAGTGTCGGCTTTTGCCTTGCAGCTCTGCTTGGCCAGCTCAAGCAGCTTATGCTCAGCCGGCTCTGCTTCATGAGATTCAGGCAAGGGGTCAACCACAGGAGCTGCCTTCAGGACGAACTGCAGGACAGGATGCTGGAGTTTGAGGTTCACACTGAACAGCTTCAGGTGCAGGAAGTGCTGGAAGGGCCAACTGGCTCGCATGGCTTCTGACATACTTTCTCTCAAGCTGCCACTCATCAACTGGTTGGCGTGCGCGACACCCGCTCCCAATCTTCCTCTGCCTTGACCGCCAGTGAGGGTGATAGGAACATCATGCTGCCCATGCTGCTGACCTTGAGACATGTGCAAAAGAGTTTGCAAGAATCGAGAGAGACCGTTTTGTGGGGCATCGAGGGTGTCGACAGTCTGGCAGCTGACCTGCGCGCATTTGGTAACCCTCAACGGCATGCGTCTGAAGACCATGTGCAACTCACCTTCTTCTAAAGGAGGCTTGGCTGGCTCCACTCCGCCAGGGAAGGCAGCATTGCGAAGTTCCTCAGGGAGATCAGCAAAACAGGCAGGCAATTGTGGCAAGAACATTGTCGACTTTGGTGCGGATCTCATATACTGCTGCAAAGCTTTCTTGAGCCTCAAGAAGTTCGAGTGCAGCTGAAACTGGTTCTCCCTGGCAGGGCTTGCCCAAAGTAGCAATGTAGCTGACGTACCAAAACTTGGTTCCGAGGGCAACTGCAAACCTAGCTTGACCAGGTGGCCAAATAAAGCGTCACACTTTGAGTCCATGGAGTGGGTGGACAGTAGCTTCTGCCAAAGATGCTCGGTCAAAAAGTTCGGCGTGCGGGTGTATAGTCCTGAAGTGACTGCCTCTTCGTTCTTTGTGAAACAGTCTCCGGGTTTGGGGGAGTGGCTGCGATGCGCTCATACAAGGCGACAACGAGTTCCTTCTTCTCGTCCTCCACAAAGACGCTGCTCTTTGCGACCATTTCTGCTCCACGCTTGGCGGCTTCCAGCGTCAAAGGGTCCCAGGCTTTCAGGCTTCCCAGGAAATCCTTCAGCAAAGCCTCTCGGTCTTCGCTTTCAGAAAAGGTCCTTTCAAATCCTTGCAAGTCTTCCAGCAAGTGAGCCTCCATTTTCCTATAGCTATATTTCCGGCCTGCAACCTCAAACGCCTTGCCGCGCAAGTTTATATCTAAACATGTCGTTGGGGCGCCTGAGCGGGTGAACCGCTGAGGATAAGAAACACAAGAATAAGCGACAAAAAACTTGACGCGAGATCAAAAACAAAAAAGGGCTGGAGAGACAAAGAGTAAACAACGCTGTTTCCAACATGGCATGAGCGGGTGAACCGCTGAAGAGAAAAATAAACAACACCGTTCCCAGCATGGCGTGAGCGGGTGAACCATCTGGAAATCCGACCAAAGTCGCAAAAAAACAACAAAAACGTAAAGCGACAAAAACAAAAATAGCTTCAGTAAGTAGTTCATAAGTAGTTCGTAAGTATCGCGTGTGCCTACTTATTATATCTCCCAGGTAAGTACAATAACTTCCACTTCTACTTATGGAACTTGAGGTCTACTTGCGGGAACTTATCCTTATGTGTAAGTAGATGTTTCGCTGGTTATAACAATACATTTAAGTGCCATAACTAGGCTTGAACCACTAAGTAACAAGAAGCTAGTAGGAACAAGTGCGTCGCTACTAGGAACAAGTGCCTTACTAGTAGTAACAAGAAGCTGTTAGAAAACAATAAGTTTCTCTTCTCTTCTCTTTTCGCAATCCGAGGCCGGCGCCATGAGCACGAGCATGTCCGAGACGGTGCGCCAGCTAGTTTCTAGCACTGTTTTCGGTTTCACGGATTGGAGGATTGGTTTCGGTCTTTGGTTCCGCTATGGCCAGCGTCGCTCCTAGTAGCGATGCCCTTTGCTCCTAGTAGCTTCCTGTTTTTGCGCCGTTTTTTTTTCCCTTTTCGGATTTCCCTCAGGCCGATGGCGATGACGAGTTCTTTCCGTACGTCTCGTTATCTTTCATGCCGGACTCAGAGAAGACTCCACTCTAGTTTTGTTTCAACCCTACTGTTTAGCCTTGCTTGGACCTCTCATAGAGCTACTTGATACTCCCAAGCTGCCTCTTGAAAGACAGTCTGGTATCCAAGGCCATTTGCTGTCAATCGCGATGGGAAGTGATTGTGTGACGTGCTTTGCTCAGGACTCGAAGTCCGACGTCTCGGTGCGTTAAACGTGCGCCGTCTCGGCTTCGAAGTTTTCTCAGAAAGCCACCAAATCTCCTAGCCAATCTCCTTGCCTAATAGCGTCCTACTTCAGCTCAGTTTGGCCTTGAAGCCTAAGCCATGATCTTTCCGACGGGAGAGCTTCCGTGAAGAAAGCCGATGTTTTGCGTCCAGTTGGTAGTAGCTGTGGCAGCTACTTTAGCTAGCTTCTTACTCCTAGCTATTTGTTAGCTCTCCGCTTTCTCACAAATGGGTCCTGTCCCTATTCCCAAAATCTGCTCCCATCGCTGAGTGACGAACAACTTAGCCATCAACTTGACAGGTTCTTGGAACCGTAGCGGCCACCGGGAGCATAGGCTGGCTCTTCTCAAACAAATCGCAAGAGCGAAGTCAATCGGATAAGCTTTGGGGAATGTTTCCGACCATTGGCGGCCTTGCAATTTGTTTACCACTTGGGGCCGACTTCCCGCCGTTTAACGGTTTTATGCACTCCAAAAATGTGAAACTGGGGTTTGGTCTGTGACTTCCAAACACTACACTGTATAGCTGAGCTAACTAAGCACACTGTGTACTATTGGGCCTATACCAAGACACGACGTGTTCAGCACCTTTGGTGCACGCGGAGTTTGTTTGAATTTGCATATATGGAGAAGGGTCAAAAGGTAACATGTTTTTTCCTCGCCACTGAGGGACCGCATCGAGCGCATCCGCATTTGATTTTGAGGAATCGTGCAATCCGGATGCTTTGAGAACGCCAAAAGCGGAGCGATTCTTTCGTTTTTGTGTTGTCTTAGGTGGCTCTGGCGCGGTGTCTCTTATTTTTTGATATCTGTGAATCAAGTTTCAGGCTTCGTTCTGAACAGCTGAACATCAAGTCGTCTTGCACGGTAGGGCCCATCCGGTAAGGCCGGCTCGAAGGGAAAGGCATCGAAACGTGTGGTGCCATGGCCCAAAAGCCCTCGAAACGAAAGGCTCGGTGCATGTTTTTTGTGTTTTTCCGTTTTGGACGTTGGTCAAAACGCGAGGCATTGGGAACAAAGAAAGACAGGAGCCTCGGAACTTTGCGTTGGAGGTGTTTCCAGGTTTGAAGGCACAAGAGCTGGACACGTCTGAGTGTCTTAAGGACCAAACTGGAAGTCACGGATCAAGCGGTTGCTTTGTCTGACACAGAAGTGGCCGAGGCTGGAAGATCGCAAAAAACGTCGTTTTACACGAAGAGATGGATCCCGCGCGCGTGAGGGTTATTTCAAGGGTGCAATTTACGGGAATAAGCTACTAGGAACAAGTGCATCGCTTCTAGTAACAAGTGCCTTACTAGTAGAAACCAGAAGCTACTAGGAACAAGTGCATCGCTTCTAGTAACAAGTGCCTTACTAGTAGTAACAAGAAGCTATTAGAGCTCCATAAACAAAGCAGCCTTGAAGCGAAGGACGTATGACTGTCGTATGAGTCAGGTGAAAGGGTTGAGTTTTCCTTTTTTCGGGATTGGCCCATGTCGTTTTAGCAAATCAAGGTTCTTGATTGTGACCACAAAAATATGGACCAGTTGCAACAAATCTGAGAATTGTTTTCTTGTAGTGGGATGGCAGTTCGTGACGCACCGGTTAGTGTTGATTTTACAGAAAGCATTTGGACGTGTAGGGATTGTGTGCCTGATATTTGCAAGGTCCAAAAGAGGTTTGGCGCAGAAAACATGTGAGCCACAAGTTGCTTTTCGTTTGCTTCTTCTTGTGCTGTGACTTGCGACCACATCCATGAACATAAGCGTAGACAAAGACACCGTATGCAAGACACCGTAAGAGAGGAATTGTAACGCTAAAGGGCAGAAGGCCGAACAAGCGTGACCCGTATCCGGCAGCTTGGTATGTGGCTGTGAGGAAGGCCCTGTCACTGGCAGGTTTGGGTTGAGCCAACACGCATGGCACTGCTGAGGAGCGGGCAGAGAGAAGGACTTGTCAACCGCGTTCGCATGGTCCTGGCGCTGGTCTCTCATCACCAAGGTTCGCTCGATCTAGCGCAACACCTCCTTGTCTCCCGTTTCTTCGAACCGCTTTGAACACGGCGGACTCACGCGAAGGCGGCGCTTTCACATCATCTTCCAGCCCACAAGTTGGGATCGGAATGTTCTTCGAACGATGGTGCAACAAGTGCCTGTACTGGTTGGCGGTCAAGGAAGGTAACATAAGACCCCATCCCTGACCCGCTAGACCTTGTTGGCCACAAGGGCACGCATACAGGTGCAAGCTGTGAAGGGTTGAACAAGTCGATTTTCGGATGCAAAGCCCGCCTCCGCATGTCGTTCGCTGACGGGAGTCAGGTGCAAAATCGATGCTATCAAGGTTCGCTACGAACGGGGGCATCGCTACGAGCATTCTTACTAGCGTTTGAGTGCAGAGGAGCGCAAACGCCTCGGAAATCACCCTTTTCACCGAAAAAGAAAGCGCCAAGTCTGTCTCTTTCCGGTAGGCCACAGGTGAGTGATTGGCCAGGCTCGGAATGCGCACCTGAAGTCGGAACAAAGAATGATCTGTGGGTTCCTCGGTCCACGAATCATTTGAGTGGAGGCTATACGTTGGAGCAGCAAGCAATCCTGAGTGCCCTCATCCGAGGTCAACCACCCATTGAACACTGCCATGCTATCCCCCTACACAGCTCGAGGCATCAAACTGAACCGACCACATCACCTCTCAGGTGACGGCCCTCAGAAGCAAAAGCCCACGGCATATGCAAATCAGAGAAGCGGTTATTTTTCGACCTCAAAAGCGCCCACTACACTGGCCCAGTTTTCAAAACCTTGGAGGCGTTGGCCACCGTGCAGTTGAGGAAAAAAGGTAAGAGGTTCCATCGAATTGTTTTGCGCCTTGCGGATTTGCTTTTTCAAACAAGAAGCTACCAGGAACAAGTGCCTTACTAGTAGAAACAATTCGTTTCAGTCTTCGCAGGCATTGGCTGATGTGATACCTATGCTCATGGCGCCACCCAACATCTTGAACATCATGGAAAAGTTTCAGCAGCCGCTTTTGAAGGTGTGAAAAGTGTGTTTTTTTGTTTTAAATGTTATCACTACACGTCTTTTGTTCTTCTCTTTTTGTTCACTACACGTCTTTTTAACGTTCTCTCGTTCTGAGGCCGTGATCCCCGGAAGAGCCGGTCGCATCCCGACCCGACGCATGTTGCACTTGGCCAAGAAGAAGGTCTTAACGTTTCTGCAGAAAGAAGAGAAGAAGGAGAAGAAGGAGAGAGAGAAGATGATGAAACGAGTCGGAAATGGAAAGGAGTCTATGAAGTCTTCTACCTCGTTTTCCTCTTATCCGCTGTCCTCGGAGCTGGCGTCGGACGTGGTCCGCGCCTTTCAGATCGCGTCCGGCGAACGGGTCCTTCGCTTCGACTGGGATTTCGCCAAGGAACGGGTGAAAGCAAGCGTTGAAATTTGCTTTTTGAAAAACATGTTCGCTAGAAAAACACGATTTTTTAAAGTTTAAAGAATAATAGATGTTCTTTAAGAACGTTTCTCTTGAAGCGATGGCAGGAACGGGTGAAGAAGGCGAAGTTCGATCGAAAGAGAGAGATCGACCAATGGGACGAATGTCTGGCGATGACCTGTGGAGAGACGAATTCGTTGTCGGAGATCTTCATCTGTGGACAGAAAAAAATGACGCAACGGGCTTTGAACTCCATCCTTTGTCATGAATCTCTTCACAATTTGGCGCGACGGGCACGAAGAGGAAATCCCTTCCTGGCAGAAGACACGGAACACATGGCCATGGCTCTTCTTGGCGATCCGCAGTTGGTGCACGAACCCAGCTTGGCGCAAACTTGAAGCTACGAACGGGGCTCCTGGCACTACAAGGATCTACAAGAAACAAGCCACTACAAGGTCTTGAGGTTTGAGAACGGAAGAAC